CTTCTCAGGCACAACGCAAGTTGTTAGAAACAGTGGAGTGACATCTATAAAATGCTGAAGGAAAAAGATTTTTAAACTAGAGTTGCCTAATCAGAAAAAGTATCAATCAAGTATTAGGGCATAGTAAAAGCCTTCTCAAGGATACAGGGACTCAGGAAATAGAAGATTTCCTTTTGAAGATAGCTTGTCACCTTCTTAAAAACACTGAACATAGTCTCACCTTAGATTCAGCAAGCACGCTCCTGGGTATTTTCCTAACTGATTTGAGAACATATGTTCACTCAAATCCCCATACATAAATGTTTATAGATGCTTATTTGGTAATCACCCCAAACTGGGATATGTCTTTTAATGGATGAATAGATAAACACACTGTGACACAGCCTTACAATGACATGTTATTCATAAATAAAAAGAATGACCTATAAGACATGCAAAGACATCAGAAAATATTAAGTGCATATTGCTACATGAAAGTAGCCAGTTGGAAGAGGCTACAGAGCGTATGACTCTATTTACATGACATTTTGGAAAGGGAAAAAATTATAGAAACAATAAACATGTGTAGAAAAGTCTAAAAAGGTTAAGCATGGGAGATTCATTAGGGCAGTGAAATTATTTTTATGATACTGCAATAGTTCATACATGATAGTATGTGTCAAAAATCACAAAACTTTATAGCACAAAGAGTGAATCTTGATGTATGAAAATTAAGGAAATAATTTAAGAGATCAAAAAATTCCAAGATGAAATGTAGAATACAGCAAAGCATTCTAACTGTATTAAAAATGTATGAAACATGAAAAAAATGTATGAAACAATCTCACTGGAGGGCATGACAGGAATTTGCTGCCTTAAGTAACTTGGAAATGAATCTTGTAAAGCTAAGATCAAAAGGAACTGTATGTAAGTGCTGTACTATAGTTAGTAAAGTTGTTTCCCACGGGAGTCCAGATTAATAATTCTGAAAACAGTATACATGTATATTGGAATTGAACAATTAACTGAATGAACTGACAGATGACAGGAGATGAGTTTCTCATTGTTGGAATGGGAAGTTACAGGTAAGCAAGGGGAGGAGGTTAGAATAATCTTTGTTGTAATGGATTAGAGTTGGAGACATCAGCATAAAGTCATGTTCAGTTTAATATAGTTACAGATGGTTACATACGCAAATATTTATAGGTGTGTGTAGACATACATATATATTTCATTGCTCTGTGAACTGAGAAAGCCTATAAGTAACAACTTCCCCAGTAGCAGCAAGCACACCTAGCACTAAGATGTGAGTTTCTAAAACCATCAACTAGTAAAAATAATTAGGGCTCCTTGGAGAAATGACTGATTCTGAGACTGGGGCATGAAATACAGTTGCTCTGTGGATTCCACATCCATGGATTTAAAAATCCGAAGATCAAAAATATGCCAAAAAACTGGATCTGTTCATAACATGTACAGACTTTTATTTTCTTGTCCTTGTGCCCTAAACAATAGAGTAACAACTATTTTACATTGCATTTACATCATATTAGGTATTATAAGTAATCTAGAGATAATTTAAAGTATATTAAAGGATGTGCACAGGTTATATGCAAATATTATACCATTTTGTATAAGAGATTAAGCATCTACAAATTTTGGTGTTCATGAGAGGTCCTTTTAAAAAAAGTTTTTTGAGTACAAAGTAAGTGTATATTTTTATGGGGTACATGAGATGTTCTGATACTATGGAAGTTCCTGAAACCAATCCCCCAGGGATACTGAGGGAAAACTGTGTATAAAATGAGCCTGGAGCATTTCGTAGTGTCAGAAAGTAAGGTCTGAAAAACTTCTTAAGGGACATCACAAGTGCTGCATTCAGCAAAATCCATACTACGGGAAACTAGACAAAACACAAGACCTGTTTATTTCTTTTGTTTTTTTGTTTTGTCTTGTTTTAAGATGCAAGGAAAAAAGATTAATAGTTGGAGAAATTATAGATTAAAAAGCACTAAGTGACATATTCAACAATTACAATGATTAGATCATATTTGAACACTGATTCAAAGAAACTAATTTTTAAAGTATGTGTCTGCTAGGTAAATATGGACATTATCTGGGCATTTGATGATTACTCATTTAAATTGTTAGGAAATACATTTACACTGGATTCATGTTTCACAAAAGAGTTCTTATCTTTTATAAAAGCATATGAAATAATTAGAAACAAAATGACACAACGTCTGGGATATGCCTCAAATCATTACAGTAGCAAGAGATGGAAGTAGGTAAGAGTAAAATTAGAACCAGATTGGACAATGTATTGAAAATTGTTGATGCTAAGAGTCTGGTACATTGGTTCATTATACTATTCTCTTTAATGTTGTGTATGTTGAGAATATCTATAGTAAAAGCTTTTTATTGTAAATATCATGCCATTAAATTTGAAATCCTAAGTGAAATTGATCACTTACAGGTTTAATCAAACAATACAAACTGAAACTGTACAGTATTCAAAACTCAAGCCACTGCCAAATGTTCCAGAATAAGGCAGTTTGGGAGGCCAGTTATACCAAATGATCATGGAGAAACAAATTACCATCTTATGTAAACTCTTCCAAAGCATACAAAAAGGTAGGTAATTATTCAAATCGTTTTGCCAGGCCAGCACTCTTTGATTCAAATACCAGATGAGAACAACCAGTGAAAAGAATGCTTGAGCCAAGCTCTCTCACATAGCAGCAAATATTCTAAATAATTTAATAGCATATTCAACATAGCAGTATATTAACTGAACAAACAAGCTCTGTCCAAGGAATAAAAATTATGATTTAACATTAGAAAATGCTTTTAATGGTAATTCCCCATAAACAAATTAGAGGAGAAAAAACACTTGATTATGTCAATGGCTACATAAAAAGCATTTCAAAGAAGTTTAACACAAGATAATGGTTAAAAAAAAAAAAGTAAAGAAAAAAGTAAACTAACACTAGAATAGAACTTGCATTATTTAAAATCTATAGCAAACACACTTAAATGCGAAATGTTACAAAAATTTCCATGAAAGCCAGGAACAAGACAAAAATGTACGCTATCTTCTCTATTGTTCAAAACTGCACTGAAACACATAGTCAGAGCTATGGGTATCAAAATAAATAAGATACATAAATTTTGAGAAGAGATATTTGGAAGCAATGTTATCTTTTAAGAATATTCAAAGGAATAGGCATGTGAAATATTTAAATGAATAAAAGGCTTCAGAAGAAAAATGTTTTATGGAAGCTCATTATAGCAAAATCAAGACACTGGTCATACAAAAATAGTAAATAAATAGAACATACAGTAGAAAATATCCCATTAAAAACAGCAAAAAACTCCTAAAATTATCTTAAAAATAATCCTAACAAAAATGAGCAGGATCTTAATGGAGGCAACTGTAAAAGTTTGCTGATAGATTCAGGTGGAAGAAGTCCCAAATAAATAAAGCATTATACCATATCTATTAATGGAGAACAGAATATTTTAAAGGTGTGAATTTTCCTTAAATTATTTACAGAATTAGTGCCTTACCTTTAGTCCAAAATGAGCATCAAGTTCATATTGCTGACTTACACTCCAGAATCAATCCTGGAGGGGAGAAGGGAAAAACTATTATCAACACTCAACAAATTCTACACAGCAAAACATGATAGAATCCTAAGGAGACTGCAGAATGTTGAACTGGACCTTGTGTTTGGAGTAGGGGGAGGGGAGGACAACAGTGCATTTGAGGAGGTCTGTAGCCTGCATAGACGGCAAATAAGAGGATGAATAGGAGGAAATATTTGAACTTCTGGCCCTGCTTTATTGCACAATCTGAGGCAGCACTTCACACCACGATGCCGTAGCTCTGGAGTGATATCAGGACAGCAGGAAAGATGGGGTTGATTGAGGGAATATGACTCTGGAGTCTGTTCTGCTAACCACCTGAAGCCACCTTAGTGACGACTGGTCTTTTTAAGAAATTATTGGAATATAAAGAATGGACTAGAAATAGAATAAACAGTGAACCACATAGAATAAGGTAGGTATTCTTTCATGAAATATTTTATATATATATGTAAATTTATATATATGTGTATATATACATTATATATATATATATACACACTTGGCAGATATTTAAAATATATATTTTTACTAGGAATGAGGGTTAAAAAGCCAGACATCACTGCATTGGACTATAAAATGTCAGCTAAACTCAAAACAGCAGGACCTCCCCACACCCCCATGCTCAGCCTTTTTCTTGTAGAAAATATACCCTTTAGGACAAAAAGTTTGCCAAGTCTACTTCTGGCTTGGGAAGAGCCCCCTTAGGAAGGTGTGTGTCTTCTCCCAGAGGTCATTACAATCACGGGTGTTGCAGCTCCCCAGTGACCATCTGGCCTGGGACCCCCACCCATACTTTGCAAGGGGTGCAGCTGGGCAAATGATCAGAGGTGACAGAAACAGAGCCTCTCCCACCCATCACTTCATCAAAGAGACAAGAGCCAGGAGGAAGACTCTCCTGAGTGAGGACCGAGGGTCCACCTACCCCACACAAAGGGGCCACAGAATCCAGCAAGCCTCTCCTGTCAGCCCTGGAAGACCCTGGCAATATTGTCACCCCGAACACAACCCTCCCCTCACTGTCACTAGGAAGACTCCGAGTCAAGAGACATGGTGTAAGGGGGGCAGACATCCTCAGCACAAAACAGGGGTCCAGGCTTTTCCAGGCACCAAAGTCGAGACTGAAAAACCCCATCCACACCCCCACCACGACCCACAGTCCCACGATCCCCATCCCAGTCCCCATCTCCACGCCCCTCCCCACACTCATCTTCACCACCAACCCTGCCCCAACCCCATTATCACCCCCTCCCCACCCCACCCGGACTCCCACCCCCACTCCCACCCCAACTCCGGCAGAATCCACTCCGCCCCTGCTGTCAACCCAGGGAAGCCCCGGGGGCCGGATGTGACGCCACTAACTTACGCCTCAGGGATCAGAGAGAAGCGAGGTTCTCGTTCTGAGGGACAGGCTTGAGATCGGCTGAAGAGAGCGGGCCCGGGCTCTGTGAGGAGGCAAGGTGAGAGGCTGAGGGAGGACTGAGGACGCCCCCAACCCAGAGAGAAAGCCCTAAATAATTCAGCGCCGCCTCTGCTGCCAGCTCTGGACCACCTGAGGGCAGACTTCTCAGGCTGGGTTGTCACTCCCCACCCCCGCCCCCACTCTCTCTCGCCGCTTAAGCCGCAGGGGACTCTGGGAGTCAGAGCTTGGTGTGACCAGGGCAGGGCTGGGAGCCACCCCTAGGTTCTGCCAGCATCAAAGTCAGGACGCTTAGAGAGGGCTCTGCCCCTGATATCAGCCCTGGGAAGCCCCGGTCATGGCGACCAGGAATGCAAATTCTGACGTCGGTATCTGGGGCTGACGGAGGGAAAGGGATATTGGTACCAAGAATGTGGCTTCAGGGGAGCAGAGGGTGGGCCCAGACTCTGCTGGGAAATGAGGGAGTCATGAAGGGATCCCAGGACAGGGTGCCCACCCCACCCCTGTCTCAGACTGAGATGCCTCCTCACTTGGCCTCAGGAATCCAAGGGACGGTGACTCAGGTCAGCGGCGGGGGGGCGGGGTAGAGGAGAGCAACCCTGCCAAGAGCCAAGGGGAGGAAGAAGAGAGAGGACTCAAGGGACCTTGGAGTCCAGATCAGTGGGGACCTCAGCCCTGGGCGGTTTCAAGCACGGTGGCCCATGTGATGTGTCTTTGCTGTGCCTTTGGGGTGTCAATGAGGAGAGGGCTACAGTCTGAGGAATGAAGCCTCAGGTCATCAGAGGGAGGAGTCCCAGAGCCCTGAGGGAGGACTCAGCAGATCCCCGCATCTCAGAACTAGGAAATCTGTCCCTCCTATCAGCTCTGGAACCTCAGGCAGGACTCTGAGGAAGGGAAGTGGCCCCCACTTTCTCACCGGGGATCCCAGGGAGATGGTAGCCTTGGCGTACAAGACTCATACACGGTTCAGCAGGAGGGAAAGGGCTGGGCCCTGTCGGGAGTAAATCTGAATTTATTTGGGAGGACACCCAAATAAAGAAAGTCTCCATCCCGTCCCCCTCCCCTCTCCCCTCTCCCCCGCCAAATCTCCTCCTTCTGTCAGCTTTGGGAATCCCATGCAGGTGTCAACATGTGGTGTCCCTCCTCAATTTCTGCCTCCCGGGTCTCAGGGTGATGAGGACCTTGGTCTGAGGGTTGCTGAAAAGTTATCACAAGGTTCCACACTTGGTCAACAGAAGGAGGAGTTCCAGAATCTGCAGGACCCAAGGTGTGCCCCTTAGTGAGGACTGGAGGTACCTGCAGCCCAGAAAGAAGGGATGCCACAGAGTCTGGCTGTCCCCTATTCTTAGCTCTGAGGGGACCTGATCAGGATTGACACTAAGTGGCAAGCTCAATTTTGCCACAGGCAGGAAGTTGAGGAACCCTCAGGGAAATGGAGTCTTGGTGTAAAGGGGAGATATCCGCCCTGGACACCCCACAGGGGTGACAGGATGTGGCTCCTTCTTATTTTTGTTTTGGAATCTCAGGGAGGTGAGAACCTTGCTCTCAGAGGGTGACTGAAGTCAACACAGGGAGCCCCTCTTTTCTACAGACACAGTGAGTCACAGGATCTGACAAGAGTCCAGGTAAGGAACCTGAGGGAAATTTGAGGATATCCCCAGCCCATAACACAGATAGGGGCCCCTCAGAAATCTGCCATGACCCTACTGTCACTCTGGAGAACCTAGTCAGGGCAGTCTGCTGAGGCACCCTGTCTTATACAAGGATCACTGGTCTCTGGGAGGGGGAGGTGTTGGTCTAAGGGAGTTGCACTCGGGTCAGCAGAGGGAGGGTCCCAGACCCTGCCAGGAGTCAAGGTGAGTACTGAGGGGACACCATTCTCCAAACGCACAGGACTCAGCCCCACCCTGCCCCTCCGTCAGCCACGGGAATTCACAGGGAACTGTGGGTAGATGGACTCCCCTCACTTCCTCTTTCCATGTCTCCTGGAGATAGGGCCTTGGTTTAAGGAAGTGGCCTCAGGTCAACAAAGGGAGGGTCCCAGGTCCTATCAGGCATCAAGATGAAGACCAAGCAGGCTCCTAACCCCAGGACACATGGACCCAGCTGAATATGGCCACCTTTTGCTGTCTTTTCTGGGAGGACCTCCGCAGTTGTGACCAGATGTGGGTCCCCTCATGTCTTCTATTTTGTATTAGGATGTAAACTTTTGATCTGAGAGTTTCTTAGACCAGCAAAGGGGCAGGGTCCAGGCTTCTCCAGGAGAAAGGTGAGAGCCCCTGTGTGAGCACAGAGGGGACTACCCACCCCAGAGTAGTGCGGAACTCACAGAGTCCAGCCCACCCTCCTGACAACACTGGGAGGCTGGGGCTGTGCTTGCAGCCTGAACTCTGAGGGTCCCTCAGTTCCTCTTCCAGGAGCTCCAGAGACTGTGAGGTGAAGCCTTGGTCTAAGGCGGTGTTTTCAGGTCACAGAGCAGAGAGGGCCCAGACAGTGCCAGTAGTCAAGGTGAGGTGCATGCCCTGAATGTGTACCAAGGGCCCCACTTGCTCCAGGACAAAGTGGACCCCACTGCATCAGCTCCAGCTACCCTACTGTCAGTCCTGGAGCCTTGGCCTCTGCTGGCTGCATCCTGAGGGAGCCATCTCTCACTTCCTTCCTCAGGTTATCAGGGGACAGGGAGACCAAGAGGTCAAGAGCTGTGGGACACCACAGAGCAGCACTGAAAGAGAAGACCTGTAAGTTGGCCTTTGTTAGAACCTCCAGAGTGTGGTTCTCAGCTGTGACCACTTACACCCTCCCTCTCTCCCCAGGCCTGTGGGTCCCCATCGCTCAACTCCTGCCCACTCTCCCACCTGCTACCCTGATCAGAGTCATCATGCCTCGAGCTCCAAAGCGTCAGCGCTGCATGCCTGAAGAAGACCTTCAATCCCAAAGTGAGACACAGGGCCTCGAGGGTGCACAGGCTCCCCCAGCAGTGGAGGAGGATGCTTCATCATCCACTTCCACCAGCTCCTCTTTTCCATCCTCTTTTCCCTCCTCCTCCTCTTCCTCCTCCTCCTCCTCCTGCTATCCTCTAATACCAAGCACCCCAGAAGAGGTTTCTGCTGATGAAGGGACACCAAATCCTCCCCAGAGTGCTCAGATAGCCTGCTCCTCTCCCTCAGTCATTGCCTCCCTTCCATTAGACCAATCTGATGAGGGCTTCGGCAGCCAAAAGGAGGAGAGTCCAAGCACCCTACAGGCCCTGCCAGACAATGAGTCTTTACCCAGAAGTGAGATAGATGAAAAGGTGACTGATTTGGTGGAGTTCCTGCTCTCCAAGTATCAAACGAAGGAGCCGATCACAAAGGCAGAAATACTAGAGAGTGTCATAAAAAATTATGAAGAACACTTCCCCGTGATGTTCAGTGAAGCCTCCGAGTGCATGTTGCTGGTCTTTGGCATTGATGTAAAGGAATTGGACCCCACTGGCCACTCCTTTGTCCTTGTCACCTCCCTGGGCCTCACCTATGATGGGATGCTGAGTGATGTCCAGAGCATGCCCAAGACTGGCATTCTCATACTTATCCTAAGCATAATCTTCATAGAGGGCTACTGCACCCCTGAGGAGGTCATCTGGGAAGCACTGAATATGATGGGACTGTATGATGGGATGGAGCACTTCATTTATGGGGAGCCCAGGAAGCTGCTCACCCAAGATTGGGTGCAGGAAAACTACCTGGAATACCGGCAGGTGCCTGGCAGTGATCCTGCACGGTATGAGTTCCTGTGGGGTCCAAGGGCCCATGCTGAAATTAGGAAGATGAGTCTCCTGAAATTTTTGGCCAAGGTAAATGGGAGTGATCCCAGATCCTTCCCACTGTGGTATGAGGAGGCTTTGAAAGATGAGGAAGAGAGAGCCCAGGCTAGAATTGCCACCACAGATGATACTACTGCCATGGCCAGTGCAAGTTCTAGTACTACAGGCAGCTTCTCCTACCCTGAATAAAGTAAGACAGATTCTTCACTGTGTTTTAAAAGGCACGTCAAATACCACATGATCTCACTCATATGTGGAATAAAAAAAAAAAGTTGATATCGTGGAAGTAGAGAGTAGAACAGTAGTTACCAGAGACTGGGGAGAGGAAGGAGAAGAGGGGCTTGGAAGCAGTTAGCCAACATGGAAAATTACATTTAAACAGGAGGAATAAATTCTAGTGTTCTGTTGCGCAGTAGGATGACTATAGTTAACATTAAGATATTGTATATTACAAAATAGCTAAAAGGAAGGCTTTTCAATATTGTCACCACAAAGAAGTGATAAACGCATGAGGTGATGGATACACTACCTGATTTGATCATTATACTACATATACATGAATCAGAACATCAAATTTTACCTCATAAATATCTACAATTGCATGTCAGTTTTTTGTTTTTTGTTTTCTGTTTTTTTTTTTTTTTTTAAATTTACGAAAACAAATGACAAGAGAAATCAATGAAGTATGTAGTGGAGGGCCAGGCTGAGGCTGAGGAAAATACAGTGCATAACATCTTTGTCTTACTGTTCTCTTTGGATAACTTGAGAACTTCTTTTCTTTTCTTCTTGGTATTTCTTCTTCTTCCGCTTCCTCTTCCTCCTTCTCTTCTCTCTTCCCTTCTCTTCTCTTCTCTTCTCTTCTCTTCTCTTCTCTTCTCTTCTCTCTTCTCTCTCCTTCTCCTTCTTCTTTTTTTTCTTTTTCTTTTTTTTTAACAGAGTCTCACTCTATTGCCCCGGCAGGAGTGCCGGGGCAGTCTAAGCTCACTGCAACTTCCGCCTCCTGGGTCCTGGGTTCAAGCGATTCTCCTGCCTCAGTCTCCTGAGTAGCTGGGATTACAGGTGCGTGCCGCCATACCTGGCTACTTTTTGTATTTTTTAGTAGAGATGAGGTTTCACCATGTTGGCCAGGCTGGTCTCGAACTCCTGACCTCAGGTAATTCGCCCACCTCAGCCTCCCAAAATGCTGGGATAACAGGTATAAGCCACTGCACCCAGCCTCTTCTTGGTATTTTAAAATGTTGTTACTTTTACTAGAGAGTTTATGAGCTTCAGAATCTTAAGGTCACACATTTATTTCTGTTTATCCAGTTTAAGAAAGAGTTTTGCTATTCTGTAAAACAAATTGGGAACCCTTCGATCTTATTTGTAATCTGTAATAAAATAACATGGAACTAGAATAGTAATTTTCTTGGACATATAAAAAATAGTAAAATAGAGAAAATAATGTTAAGTGTTAGTATTTTTATTTGTTTATTATTTTTATTTTATTGTCCTGCAAAGTTAGAAGTTATATCCCTGGATCTTTGTTAAGTCGAAATTAAACTGTAATAAATGAAACCTTTGCTCACTGGTTCATTTTTTTCCCCAAACATCCACTGAGCATCTGGTCTTTGGAAGGCCCTGGGTCTGTAGTGGAAATGTTAAGTCAGAACCACCTTTACCCATAGGGTGGTAGAGTCTAGGGGCTGTAGTCAAGTAATAAGGTGGTGAGATATCCTCTAAGACCTAGAGGAAAAGTAAGACAGGGATGAGAATATTGGGTTGTAGGTGACAGTGGTCACGTACATCTCCTGAGCCAGGACTTTTGGGGCTTTGAGAAACTGCAGTTCCTTCTGGTGAAGATGAATCCAAATAAGCTGGGTGGTGCCAGGGTCAGAGCCTCACATAGTTGAGAGAGAAAATCCTGGGATGCAAAACTGCTCTGAGCAGTTCCTTTTGGGTGGTGGATGAACAGAGAAGAGTCCACCTGGGGCAGGAATGGAAGGTGTTCTGCACTCTTGTCTCAGTGCAGTTGAACATAGCACAATAACTAGGTGATAGATGCTCATCTTATGCAAGGGTCTCCTGAGAGATAAGGATCTCATAATAAATAAGCCTATGAATTGATGCCTAGAAGTTAGCTGACTCCATTAGAGAAACATTTTAATTGGGTCATTTTTTATGTAATTTGTACAACACTAAGCAAGGGCTAGAATTTGGTGACGAAATGAATGAAAATCATGATTTGGATGGAAAAGAACCTTGGAGAGAGGGAAGGAGTTGATACTTGACTCATATTCCATGAGCTTTGAGCAGCATCCAGCAGGGAGAAACTCCTGCACATGAAATTTTGAAAATACATCCTCTTAAGAGGGAAAATTTACAGTTTTATTTATGAAGCAACATTTGTGACTGATTTGGGATTCCATGTCCCATTGAGCTGCATATTCTGAGATGTACTGGATAATAATGACAACAAAAAATGCTGAGTAGACTGTGGTGGGATTTGAGGTCAAATAATATTAGAAATAACAGCCATCTGCCATTCATTAAACTTCTAAATATGCCAGGCCCTAAGCCAGGTGCTTCACTTATATTGCTCATACTCCAGTAGTCCTATTGGACAGGGCTTATCACACCTGCTTCACAGATAAAGAACCCAAGGCTCACAGGGCTTGGGCATTTCCCAGAATCACATGGCTAGTAAGTAACAGGGCTGAAACCAGACTGCTGGTCTGAATTTCTGTAGAGCCCATGCTGTTCCCACTCCTCCCAGCTTGAGGCCGACCTCCTGAATAATACTTCATTTCTCTTCTCAGCACTGTACTATATCTTTCAGGTGACAAAAATAGGAACTCTGAGTCCAAAGTATCAGTAGTAGGCCTAGAGAAGGTGACAATGAGAATCAAACACCATTTCAGGGCGGCCTGTGGACCTTATTAATCCAGGGACCTCCTGTGTCAATCCCCAGGGTTCTTTGAGAGCTGACTCTACCCAGGAGCTGGCACTTCTGTTCAGAGCCAGCACTTCCCCACATTACAGCACCCTTTCCCTGGTTGTCCCCAGTGTTCCTTCCTGTGAAAATCTGGAACCTGGCCTGCTGCATAGCTTGTCACTGTGGTCTCTGCTAAAGGCTGTGCCCAGAACACAGTAGAGAAGCCCAGAATCGCCTGTTCTCTCTGTGACATGGAGCATGCCTACACCCTGCAGAAGTACTCTGAGTGTTCTGCCCCATTCCGGGAAATCTCTCTTATAGCGGATGTCTAAATATCAGTGCCCAAAGCCAAATTTATGTAGAAATTTACGTTGAAAGGGCCATTCAACTTCTCCTCTGCTTTCAAAGGATTTGGTCAGGAGCCAGGGAAGGAGAGCAGACAGGACATCCTCGGCTGGCAAGGGGCGTTAGGAGGATGCAGGGAAGAGCAATTACCAGAGTCCATGAGAGAGACCACATGTGAAATCAAGTCCACAGAGCCCCAGGCAGGCTGCCACTCAGCTCTGAATCCAGATTTCAGCCCCGTGGGGGCAGAGACCTGAGGGAGAGAAGTGGGAAGTGGCGAAGGAGGACAGGGCAACAAACAGGGATAGACTTGGGAAATCTGGACACCATCATCGTCAACAGGATGTGGCTCTGTGATCTTAATGGGCAGGACTGTTGGCTGAATGCATTAGCGGCATGCTGGACACCTTATGCTCTTTCAAGATTCCCCTCCCTCTGTCAGGAAGAATATGGCTGGCTCCCTGCATCATTCTGGGCGAGCTACTTCTCTTGACAACTCCAGTGGCCCTGTGCACCCTTGCCAGCATCCCAGGGCTGGGATCTGTCTTTATGCCTACTGGGGCTGGTGAATTATCCCCTGGGGACTCTCCATAGAGGTTGGGCTATGTGTGTGGGTTGCTGACTGATGATCAACAGCTGAGACTCACCAGGAATGCCAATGATCAGTGGAAGGTGGTAGTGGGGCTGCATGGAGGGGAAATTGGAGGAAGAGTGCCCTGGGACTAATCAGCTCAGACTCTGCAGATGAAGGGTTTGTGTGGACATGCCTTGAAAATAATCCAGCTGGTATCCCTGACTCATATGGCCTCCTGTGTCTTCTGAGCTCTTGGCACACAAGGGGACAGGTGTCTTGGGGTGTAATCACTGGCCCATGTTGCCACCAGACACTGTCTGGGGTAGAGGGCTGGCCAAAGGTGTGGACATGGGCAAGTTGGATGGAAACCCTGTGGAGATTGCAGCCTTCATTGTTAAACTGACAGAACATGTGGGGTCCAATGCAAAAAGCATCATGCACCGTCCTGCTGGGAGCATCCTCACCTCCAAGACACTGTTTGGGCCTGAGGAGAAGTCATCTGCAGTGACTCTGTCATGGTATTTTCCACAAGAATTCTGAACTGAAGTGAGCACAGGTAAGGGAACTGTGGGTTTCTTTATGAAGGCAGGAGGCCCACACAGGGGCCGGTTCCACACTTTGAATCAGCGAATTCCCATGCCTGATAATTTCATTCATACAGTCATTCATTCATTCATTCATTCATTCATTCATTCATTCATCCAGCAAATTTATTGAATACATGCTGAGGAAATATGAGGTAACAAAACAATGTGACAAGGCCCTTAATCCAGTCTGTGGGGGATGTAGGGGAGATGGTGAGGTGGTATGAGTCACTCATCTGAGTTAAGGAGGCCAGGAAAGTAGAGCCATACTTGGGGGCAGGCCTTGCACGAGAAAGGGAGGGACAGCCTATGACCAGGTCAGCAAGCTGGCCTTCTATGACACTATTGATCTGATTTTCTTCCTCGATGCTGCCTGTGTGTGAAAGCAACTGCCACTTTCTGTGCCCACCTGCCTTTGTTAATAGGGAAAGTGCTCATGGTTGGCAGATGCTTACTTCTGTGGTTATAGTTTCATGGGACTATGTATTTGTCAAAACTCTCTGAATTGTTTCTCAGTATTTCAGAGAAAAAGTAAGCACGAAACAAGGAAAGATAGAGATTACCTGATTAAAATTTTAAACAAACAAACAAATAAAGATTGCATCCAATTATAGCAGAATAAACCTTCCTCTCAAGTGTGCATAAAATATTTACCAAGATAGATGGTATTCTGGGCCATAAAACAAATCTTACAAATTGAAAATATTAGAAATAATAAAAAGCATATTCTTGAAGATGCTTCTTGAAGATCATAAGGTAGTTAAGCTCAAAATCAAATACAAAGATAACTGAAAAATGCTCAAATATTGTAAATTTTAAAATATGCTCCTAAATAACCTATGG